ATGCTGTGTTAGCATATATTTCACAAATTTACTTTAAAAAATATTTTAAAGGCTGGGGATATGGCTCAGTGGTCTAGTGCCCCTGAGTTCAATCCCTGGTACCCACCCCCAAAAAACATTTTAGATATTGTATAACATGCACAATCCAAAGTAATTTTATAATAGTTCAAAAAAACATAAATTTCAGCCAGGTGTGGTAGCACACACCTGTAATCCCAGTGACTCAGGAGGTTCAGGCAGGAGGATTGCAATTTCAAGGCCAGCCTTAGCAATTTGGAAAGGCCCTAAGTAATCTATCAAGTCCCTGTCTAAAAATTTTTAAAAATAAAAAAAGGCTGGGGGTGGAGCTTAGTGGTAAAGCATCCCTGGGTTCAATCCTCAGTACCAGAAAAGTAAAAAAAAAAAAAAAAAAATTTAATTAGGATTCACAATATTTGTTCTCCAGATAATAAGAGAACAAATGAGCCTGTGTGATGATGCACACCCATAATCCTAGTGGCTCAGGAGGCTGAGGCAGGAGGATCTTGAGTTGAAATCCAGCCTCGCAAAATCGAGGTACTAAGTAAGCAACTCAGAGAGACCCTGTCTCTAAATAAAATACAAAATAGGGCTGGGGATGTGTCTCAGTGATTAAGTGCCCCTGAGTTCAATCCCCAAAAAAACAAAAAGAGAGAGAATAAATGAGCTTTTGGGGAATATTCAATGCTTTCTAAGGTTTTGCAGGGGGACAGTAAGAAACTATCTTCAGTCATCTTTTCTTTCTTTTTGATGTAAAGCAAATAATAATTCTACTATGCCACATTTTAAAAGATATAGTTGTAAAGTATGAAAGATCCTTGAATTTTTTAAAAATACTTCTGTTTTATTTATTGATTTTTATGTGGTGCTGGGGATCAACCCCTGTGCCTCATATGTGCTAGGCAAACATTCTATCACTGAGCCACAACCCCCAACCCGACGATCCTTGAATTTTCTACAGCTCTATAACTACCAAAGTAACAAACAACAGCAATATTGGTATATGAATCTGAATTTGTCAGTTCTACCATAAAAAGTACTTTTTCTAATTTCTAGAATTTTTAAAATAACATTTCTGTAAGTCTAATAATAACATTCACTCAAGCAGTACCATTTATTTTAGATTGTGAAAATTTTATTGTTTTTAGTGTAATGAATTGAGTCTATTCGATTGTTTTGCAACCTTTAGAATAACAATATTTTTGTTTGTTTGTTGTTTTTTTATACTGTGATTGGACCCTGGGTGAGTGCTCTATCACTGAGTTTCATCTCCAACCAAAATAAAGAAAGTGTTTCTCTTAATGAAATATGCATAACAGTTATTATCTAGAGGACCACCAAATGTGATTTCAAAATGTTGTTAACTAGACTGGGACTGTAGCTCAGTGGTAGAAGTACCTGCCTTGCACATGTGAGGCACTGGGTATGATCCTCAGTACCACATAAAAAAATAAATAAATAAAGCTATTGTGTCCATCTACAACTAAAAAAATAAAAATAAAAATGTGTTAACTATTGCATATATAATCCTTATATAGAATTTTTAATTTTATAAATAATATATAATGTTGTAAAATTAAATTCTTATTCTCAAATTCAAGTTATTATTGATTGCCAGTGTTGGGGTTAAATCTCTATTCTCTCAAATCTTAGAAACAAGATTTGTCTTCCTTTGTGCAGTTTGTAGTTTTCACTGTTTTATTCTTATATATAAAAAATTAATACTGCCGGACATGGTGGCACATGCCTGTAATTCCAGCAATTTGGGAAGCTGAGGCAGGAGGATTATAAATTCAAAGCCAGCCTCAGCAATTTAGTGAAGCCCTAAGCAATTCAGTGATATTCTGTCTCAAAATAAAAAATAAAAAGGAATAGGATGTAGGTCAGTGGTTAAGCATCCCTGAGTTCAATCCCTGGCACCAAAAAAAAAAAAAAAAATTATTGGGGCTGGGGATGTAGCTCAGTGGATAGAGTGCTTGCCTTCAAGGTCCTGGGTTCAATTCCCAGCACACACACACACACACACACACACACACACACACACTTTGTAATCCAAGCAATCATTTGATCTGTGCTAATTTGTCAATTTGGCTATTCAATAAAGTCAATTGAAAGAGCTTACAGTTACTGGTTGTTGAAAGCAATGTGAATAACTAGCCAGTCACTGAGTGGTGCTGTGTTGTACATCTATGCAATATCCCCTGCAATCTCAGCCACTTGGGAGGCTGAAGCAGGAGACTCTCAAATTCAGGATCAGCATAGGCAATTTAGAGAGACCCTATCTTGAAATGAAATTTTTAAAAAGGACTTGGGATGTAGCTTTATTGCAGGACAGGAGCAGTATTTATACATTCCACACAGTCAACCAATCAGGAATCTCCACACTTAATGGCTCGCTTTTGTTACTTCTCAAACCACTCCCTCTGGCATTTTGCCGGGCACCATCCAGACTTGCTTACGAACTCTAACATTCCCCTGGCAAAATGCCAGGTGTTATTTTGACTTCTTTACAGACTCTAATAAATCCCCAACACTGTTAAAAGAAAACAAAATAAAAATGAAAACGAACTTAAATTGAGCAACAAAAATACCACAGACCTTGTACTTGCGATCCTTTTCCCTCAGCCTCCCAGGATTACAAGTGTGTGACACTATACTCAGTAATAAACTGATTTTTTTTTCTTTTTCTTTTTGGAACTAGGGATTGAACTCAGGGCACTTAACAAAGAGCTACAACCCCAGCCCTTTTTTGTATTTTATTTAGAGACAGGGTCTCACTGAGTTGCTCAGTAAGTAGATTTTGCTAAGGCTGGCTTTGAACTTGGCTCCTGCCTCAGCCTTCTGAGCAAGGGAGAAGAAGCAACCCCTTTGTTGGGGGGGTTACCTTTTGTGGGCAATGACAAGCCAAAGACTTAGGCTGAGTTGCTCAGGAGTGCTTGCTGCTTGTTTCACATTCAAACAGTTCTTGGGCGGGTTTTCTGTATTCCAATGGTTTATAGGAACGGCTGTCTCCATTCCCACCCCCCACCCCCGCCCCACCTCCGGTGGTGGGGTTCAACCTGAGATTTTGTGCATACCAGGCAACAGGCAAGCACTCTAGCACAGAGCCACATCCCCAGTCCTGGCACTTCACTTTAGAGACTCGATTTATCTTTTCCTGTTGGTAATCTCAGATTCCTATCTCAATAGTGTAGCAAGTTTCCTTGCAAGGAGCCCAACAGGCTGATTTACACTAGAGCCTCAGGGACCTGGCCAAGTTCCCCTCTTAGCAAGTGTTGATGGGGTCTTTCACTTAGTTGACTACTGAATGCAAGGATTACATTTTTATTTTCCTGGGCCCATGGTGTTATTGTCAGGGTCCAGATCCTTGGTGTGCAGAAGAAAGAACTGAGCAAGACACACAGAAGTCACAGGCAATGCACCGATTTATTAAAGGTGGAAGTAGCAGAGTGGGCCCAGCAAGAGAGACTCAAGGTCCTGATGTCTGGAAATCAGTATCTTATATGCTTAGCTATGAGGTGTTCCCTTCCCTATACTGGCCTGATTGAAGACCTTACCCTATTTGCCCCCCCCCACTGGTTACCTTATGACACCTGATTATTGTCCAATTTCCCCATTGGTTACTTTAGAAAACCTAATTAGAATACTGTCCAATTTACCCCCACTGGTCACTTTAAAATACCAAACCTGGCTGGCGTTGTCATGGTGATACATCCTCAGTGGCGGGAGTTGTCATGGTAACGGGACTTAAGGTAAACAGGGACATGACCAGTTTTCTGTCTTGTCCTCCAGCCATGTCCTTCCTATGAACCCTGCCTCTGCCATTTTGGCGTCCTGAAGTCCTACCTAACATTGGCAATTTTGCCTGCGGGCTCCTGCCTCCATGTAAACTTACTTAAAATATTTTATAACTGTGCTGCTATTAAAGACGACTATAACTCAGATTTGGCTCGTTATTATACGATAATAATTGTTTCCTCTGATACTAAGAGAAACTAAAATTGAAGCGTTTTCGTGGGCTCCCAAATTACTAGGGGCCCTCAATGTTGCGCCTATTGGGCCTGAGGAGTAAGTCGGCCTGTCGAGCGTTCGCTGTTCTAGGAACTTCAGCAGTGGACAAAACAAGGCTTGCCTTCAGCAAGCTTGCATTCCAGCTAGTGAGACACAAACAAAATTAGTACACTTAGCACGCGAGGTGATTGAGAGTGAAGGAGAAACATAACGCAAAACAAGGGAACACAGAGTGCTGTGCGCTGTAATCCCAGCGGCTCAGGAGACTAAGGCGGGAGAACCGCGAGTTCAAAGCCAGCCTCAGCAATTTAGCGAGGTGCTAAGCAACACAGTGAGACCATGTGTCTATAAAACACAAAACAGGGCGGGGGACGTGGCTCCGTGGTCGAGTGCCCCTGAGTTCAATCCCCGGTACCAAACACACACTCAGAGTTCTGTTAATTTAGATAGAATGGACATGGAAGCTTTCTTGGGAAAACCTCATTTGAACAAGAAAATAAGCCTAGAAGAAACCGGGCGTGTTTCCGGAAAAAGGGATGAGAATCGGCACCCCCCAACAAATCCCAGTCAATGCTCCCCCAGGCGTCGCTCCCGCAGTTACGTATTTCCCAGCCGGCGAGCCGACCGCAGAAGGGCTGGAGACAGGCGCCTGACGCTGCAATCTCCATTTTGCTTCCTGGCAATAATGTAGTATGAACCCGCTCCTCACTGACGTCCTTGCCCACCCGTCAGGCCGAGTGCTGGTTTTCTTGACCTCCGCATGAACAGCAGTGGGGACTCAACAGCGGGGAAGGCAAGTAAGTGAGAGCCAGCCAAGGCGGGTAGGGATGCGTGCCCTCATTGCCCTCACCCAAGATGGCGGCCAGAGCCTGTGCGCGGTCCCTCGGGCCGCGCGTGCTCAGCCGGCCGACTCTGGCACCGCGCTGGGGGGCGGATCTACCGTGGGAGGGTGACGTGCTTTCTGCGGCCCTAAGTCATCCGCGCCGACACCTCCTCTCTCACCACTGCCAGATCTCCCACACTGTGGAGGAAGGATGGAGCCGGTGACCGTGGCCACCGACGGCGGGGACAGACCCGGGGCCTCGGCGGGCTCAGGCATGTCTGCTTCCCAGCGTCGGGCGGAGCTTCGGCGGAGAAAGCTGCTCATGAACTCGGAGCAGCGCATCAACCGCATCATGGGCTTTCACAGGCCCGGGAGCGGCGCGGGTGAGAGCCTTGGTTTCCCACCCCTTACGGTCTTCAGGATCATTCTGCCCTCCCTCCTCCACTGCACTGATGTTGTGGACCAAACCCTGCTCACTGACCTCCATTCTGCTCCTGCCCGTTTAAGTGATGCCCCCCCCCCCGCCCCCGTTCTCACTCCTTAGCTCCAGGACGGACCTAGTCACTCCGCGCAGTTTCCCCGGAGCTTTGCTGAGACTGTCCCCACCCGGTGCAAAGCCTTGGCCCCTGAGTCCCTCCGCCCCGTTACTCTCTCGCCTTTCTTGAAGGGCGTACACTTCATCCCCAGACTGACCTGTCCACCGCGCCCCTCAGGCCAATTGTTTTCGTTTCCATCTGTTACAAATGCTTTTCCTTCCATTGCCTTCCCGGCGTCTACTTTCTATTGCCTTTTGCTGTATAACTCTTGTCTTTATAAACTGCCTGCTCGTCCATCTTACGTGGATCGGGGACTCATATCTTGGTGTCGGTGTTCAGTGCTCTTAATACTGTGACCAACAGACCTTCTAGAAGAGGTGGGGGAAAAAGTGATCATCTTTTATAGACCCAACAGGTGCGACATCCTCACCTGAGATTTTTCTCTCATTAGATGAGGTTACTGCGGTTTGTTTCGGGAACCACATTTCACTCTAAAGGAAAGTACATTCTCACCCAAAGACTTGTCCAATAAATGCTTTTGAAGTGAATATAATTGAACACTTAGAATGTCCTAATATTGTCTAAGTTTAAATTTTAAGTGTGCTCTTAAGTGATTGCCTTAGTCAGTTTTTGCAAGCTCCTTAGATCTTCGTGACTTCTGTGAGGCTTGGGTAGTGTCAACTTCAGACAGTTCAAATGAGATGTAGGAGCACCATTAGAAGAAAGGTTTTTCCATTAATGGTTAATATCAGGATCTTCTTTCTTTCTCAGAGCATTATTTATTATATATGACATTATATATAATAAGTAACATGTATGTTATATATATGTGTTATATATAATATTTATATATATATATACACACATTTTGGTACCACGGGTGCTTCACCACTGAGCCACATCCCCAGCTTTTTTTTTTTTTACATTTTATTTAGAGCAGAGTCTGGCCAAGTTGCTGAGGCTGGCTTTGAATTTATAATCCTCCTGCCTCAGCCTCCCTGTATTGTAGGTGTGCCACTGCACCCAACTACTTAGTATCTTTCTGTATTTTGTTCTTTTGTTTTGAAACTTATTTCTATTTTTTTTTTTGTTGTTGTTGTTTTGAATCAGCAGCATCCTAAAACTATGTAAGTACTTACTAATGGCTGCCCTAATGGCTGCCTAATAATAGTTGTAGGCTATGCCACACCCTATGCTCACAGAGCTCTGGATTCAGAAATTTTATTTTAAAATTCAGATCTTAAAAATCTTTAATGGCTTTGTATTTTTAACCAAATAAGCTAGTGCAACCAATGCAGTCATATTTCTGGAATATGTTATCCATGAAAAGTTGGTCTTGACAGCTTCTTCCATCCTTGATTATCTTTCCTAGTTTGTTTTTTAGTCCTATCTCCTACCCACAAAGTTTGGATTATTTCCTCTGCAGGAATACTCTTGGGTGATATAGTTTGATGGTATAGAAAGAGGAACTTGTTTTTATTTTATGCAAAATCAGTATTTTGATTCAGTGACTGTCAAGTTTTAGCTGCAGCAACATATTTTAAAAATATTAACACATAAGGCGTGTGTAATAACAAAAGGCTTTTAATTTTTTTCCCCCTTAGAAGAGGAAAGTCAAGCAAAATCAAAGCAGCAGGACAGTGATAAACTGAACTCCCTCAGCATTCCTTCCGTTTCAAAGCGAGTAGTGCTGGGTGACTCGGTCAGTCCAGGAACAACTGACCAGCAGGGTGGTGTTGTGGAGGTAAAGGGGACCCAGCTGGGAGACAAACTGGACTCTTTTATTAAACCACCGGAGTGCAGTAATGATATCAACCTTGAGCTCCGACAGCGAAACAGAGGGGACCTGACCACGGATACTATCCAGAGGGGTTCTCGCCATGGCCTAGAACAGTACCTTTCCAGATTTGAAGAAGCAATGAAGTTACGGAAACAGTTGATCAGTGAAAAGCCCAATCCAGATGATGGAAGTGCATCAGAAGAATTTGACTCTTTTCGAATATTTAGATTGGTGGGATGTGCTCTTCTTGCTCTTGGTGTCAGAGCTTTTGTTTGCAAATATTTGGTAAGGAAAGAGCTATAAACTAACTAAATTTGGAAAATGCAAGTTGGCTATATACTTTTAATTCACAGGATTAATTGCCAATATTAAGATAATATCTACCAGATTTATGGAGCTATTTGGAGGTGTATTATATAAACTTCATTATTCACCATAGTTACAGAATGAGAGCCTATTAATAATTATTAAAGGTGTTCTTTATGCCAGCTACCATTAAGTGCTTTGCTAGTAATAACTTACTTAATTTTCATCCTTTATGAACTAGATATCATTTAAATCTGTAAAGGAATGAAGACTCGGGTTAAATCACTTGCCCAAGGTCACACAGCATCTAAGTGACAGCTGAGATTAAATCCAGGCAGTTTCATACTAGAACCAAAGGGTTAAGTGCCAATATAGAAAGTCTATTAATTATTAAGTTCCAAATAGTATAGAGTTCCTGAATATGAAGTAAATTTTTTCTGTGTGTCAAAAGGTATTTCAACATTTTCATAATGTTGAAGTAGTATGACAGGCCTTTTTTGTATCATGATGTGGTCCTGTTATTTTACAGTAGTGGAAGGCTGCAGAAAAGCATAGCTCATAGTTCACTCGCATCTTGTTCTTAGAACTATTTCCGTTCAATAGACATTTTAAGAATATCTACCATATATCAGGCACATAAACAAATTTTCCAGGTAATTAAGATTTATATCATTAAGCAAAACAGTTTTTGGAAATCTTTTTATGCAAATGTTGCTTTAGTTATAATCAACAGATCTAATTTTTTTTCTCCCTGATAATAAATTATAGCAAAGATTGATGATGCTTTTAACATTTAGTGAGCTAGGTAGCTGCTTTTATCTCTCTTATCTAAAGGACTCTGTGCTTTCATGCTTTTAAAGCATCATCTCATTTTTGTGCCTCGTTTTTTCAGGAGCTTTTTTTTTTTTTTTGCTTTGGTTTTCTTCACTATGAACTTCTCAATTGTTTAGTTCTCACTGCTCTCACTATAATATGCCACCTAATGATCTTTGCTCCTTGGTTCCCTTCATAATATTTTTAACTTTAGAAATAATTGTGTAAATTAAATGTTACTTTGATCTTTTCCATTTTGCCTAAGAAGCCAGATCATCAAGTCATTTTATCTATAGTGTGAATAGCTCCTAATTTGAGGGCCCAAGATGGTAGCCATCTGAGTTATTCTTTGCCCCAAAGTCTAAGGAATGAATGGTGTATGTTTTGAGTGTTGGGCCTTTTAGGTATGCTTCAGGTTGTCAGTTTCTTCTAGGTGAAGGAAATTCATGATGTATTATTATGTATCTAGCTCTAGTTTATACTCTTAAATAATTTTTAAAAAGTAAATTTTTATGAGAGAAGACTTTTGGGGAAATTGAAAGAACTATATAACTTTCAGCACTAAATTAGTATTTTATTGTAGTTTTTTGCTTGGAATTTTATAGCTTCTGTTTGATTTATTGTGGTTTGAATGATTATGTTGGAAATATTTAATTTTATCTTTTATCTTCACAGTCCATATTTGCTCCATTTCTTACTTTACAACTTGCGTACATGGGACTGTACAAATATTTTCCCAAGGTAAATTAAAATCTTTTCTAAGTTTGGTGATATATTTAGATTGATTCATGACTAGCTAATTTTAAGAACTTAAAAAAAAAATGGTCCTGCTGGGCACAGTGGCTCACGTATGTAATTCCGGCAGCGCAGGAAGCTGAGGCAGGAGGATGGAAAGTTCAGAAACACCCTCAGCAACTTAATGAGGCCCTAAGCAACTTAGCGAGACCTCATCTCAAAATAAATAAAAAAGGCTGGGGATGTGGCTCAGTGGTTAAGTGCCTCTGGGTTCAATCCCCAGTACCAAAACCAAACCAAAACAAAACAAAACACTTGGTTCTACTTGTGTTCTGAATCAGTAATGCTCAAAGTATGGTTTGCCTGCCAGTGCTGATCTTCAAACTAATTATGTCTCAAGATGTATTAAGTTCAAAATGGAGCGATCAGTCCCAGCTGCTCAAGAGGCTGAGGCAGGAAGATTGTGAGTTCAAAGTCAGCCTCAGCAAAAGCGAGGCACTAAGCAACTTAGTGAGACCCTGTCTCTAAATAAGATACAAAATAGGGCTGGGGATGTGGCTCAGTGGTCCACTGCCCCTGAGTTAAAAAAACAAAAACAAAACTCACATAAAACTTGGTCAGACAAATAAAGTTATCTTGGATATCAGGCAACTTGAGCCCCATAAGACTGTGTATACATCTACAGTCCCTGGTACTCCCCCAAAATAATAAAGTGAATAATCAGGAATTTTCGTAGTACTTTTTATATTATCATACACTTTCATTATATTTTACAAAAATGTTGGTCCATGTGGTTTGAGGTCCTTAGGGTAGTATTAATAGTACTTGTCTAAGAAAAGTGTTCAATTTAATTACTAATTAACTTTAGTAATTCATTTTATTTATAATAAAGGAAATAAATTTTTAAAATTGGTTTGAGGGCTGGGATTGTGGCTCAGCGGTAGAGCGCTTGCCTAGCACTGGCAGGACCCAGGTTCGATCCTCAGCACCACATAAAAATAAAGGCATTGTGTTGTGTCCATCTACACCTAAAAAATAAACACAAAGATAAAATAAAATTATTTTGACTATCTTACTATGCCCCTTATTGAACACTTGGTAACAATGCACTTTATCTTTGAGTTTTTTTTTTTTTTTTTTGGCTGAAAAATTACTACTTGGCTGTTTGCTTAGCCATTTTTTTTGTATGGGTGGTGCTGGGATCCAACTCAGGGCCTCATGCATGCTAGACAGTGCTCTACCACTGAGTAATACCCTCAGCCCTGCTTAGTCATTTCTTTTTCTTTAGAACTGGGGTGTTCAACCACTGAGCCATATCCCCAGCCTTTTTTATATTTTATTTAGAGATAGGGTCTTGCTGAGTCACTTGGGGCCTCACTAAATTGCTGAGGCTGGTTTTGAACTCTTGATCCTCTTGCCACAGCCTCCACAGCTGCTGGGATTACAGGGATTCACCCCATGCTTAGTCATTTCTAATGGGCCAATAGATCTGTTTTTGGTTTTGATGGATTTAAAATATTTGTGTTTTGAAGCTCAAACTGGTCAAATACAGAAAGTAAAAGAGTAAAGAAAGAAATATCATTGTAATTAAAGCATTGGCCTAGAAGTTCATTCTTGCATTGGGGATGTAGCTCAGAGTTGGAGCACTTGCCTAGCATACACAAGCCCCTGGGTTTGATCCTCAGCACCATAAACACACAAAAGAAGTTTTCCCTATAGTCATAGTGGTAAGCTGTCCAAGAAATATTAAAAGAGAAAAATAAAAAGTGTAGAAATATGATCTGAAGCATACTCCTTTTTTTTGTGTGTGAAAAGGATGCAAAATAATTCATATTTGATTTTGTTTATATATTCATGAAACTATTAACAGTAATAGTATTAACAGTAGTAGTAATAGAGCTGTGTATAGATTACTAGGAAATGGGGGAGAAACAAGAAAGGGAGACTTTTACACTTTCGACAAAACAACATTTTGTTATAGTGGTTTCTTTCTTTTTTTTTTTGTTACCAGGGATTGAACCCAGGGGTGCTTAACCACTGAGCCACATCCCATCCCTTTTTATTTTTTTAATTTTGAGACAGGTCTCACTAAGTTGCTTAGGGCCTCATTAAATTGCTTAGGCTGGCTTTGAACTTGCAATCAGCCTCCCAGCCACTGGGATTACAGGCATGCCTCACCCTGCCTGTTTTGTTATGGTAGGTTTTTTTCCATTTCTTTGTGGTGCTGGGGATTGAATCCAAGGGCACTCTACCTCTTAGCTACATTCCCAACCCCAGTCCTTTTTATTTTTTACTTTGAGACTGGGTCTAAGTTAAACTTCCTGTGTTAGCCTCAAATTTTAGAATCCTTCTGCCTCAGCCTCTGGAGGAGCTGGGATTACATGCATGTGCCAATATGCCCAGATGCTGCAGTAGTTTTTAAACACACAAATGAAAGAATTGTGCAGTGAACACTATCCTTACTATGTAGATTCTGTAATTAACCTCTCATTATATTTGTCATGTATAGAATTCTATTTTCAAATCCATCTTATTGGGGCTGGGGATGTGGCTCAAGCGGTAGCACGCTGCCTGGCATGCGTGCGGCCCGGGTTCGATCCTCAGCACCACATAACAAACAAAGATGTTGTGTCCGCTGAAAACTAAAAAATAAATAATAAAAAATTCTCTCTCTCTCTCTCTCTCTCTCTCTCTGTCTTTAAAAAAAAAAAAAAAAACAAATCCATCTTATTTTTCTTGCTGTATTTCAAAGTATGTTATAGATGTACATATCTGTATACTTCACCCCTCTAACATATCATTAACTCCAAGTCAATGTTTATGGTTCTTTTTATTTTTTTAGGGGGGGTTTACTGGGGATTAAACCTAGAGGTGCTTTACCACTAAGCTATATTCCCAATCCTTTTTTAAATTTTTTATTTTGAGACAGACTCTAGCTCAGTTATTAGGACTTCATTAAATTGCTGAGACTGGCCTCGAATTTATAATCCTCTTTCCTCAGCCTCCTTAGTCACTGGGATTATAGGTGAACATCCCCTTATCCAGCTGGTTCTTTTTTGTTTTGTTTTGTTTTTGCATGGGGGATAGAACCCAGGGATGTCTTACCACTGAGCCACATCTTCAGCCCTACTTTGTATTTTATTTAGAAACAGAGTCTCTGAGTTGTTTAGGGCCTTGCTAAATTGCTGAGGATGGCTTTGAACTTGTGATCCTCCTGCCACAGCCTCCCGAGCTGCTGGGATTCAGGCGTACACCACTATGCCTAGTTTATTTTTATTTTTTATTTTGAGACAAGGTCTTGCTAAGTTGCTGAGACTGACTAGCTGGTTCTTTTTATTTAAGGTTAACTTTTTGTAAAGGAAATGTGCATGTTCTAAGTGAACCATTTGATAAGTTCTGACAACCTGCAAAACTCAAGGTTTAGAACCTTGTATCATCCCTGAAAGTTTGATTGTGTCCCTTTCCAGGCACTCCCAGTTCCTCTCCCACAAAGGTCTAATTTTCTTTTTCCCACCATAAATTAGTTTTACCTGTTTTAATAATTAATAGGATCATTTATTCCTTTTTGTGTTTTTATAAGCCTTCCTTAATTCTACATGATATTTTTGAGATTCATCAAGTTTTTGAGTATATTTATAGTTGATTCCCTTTGATTTTGGTGAGTGATAAATCAGGAGTACGAATAAATCCATCTGTTTATTTGATTTCCTGTTGATGGATATCATGGCTGTTCCCAGTTTTGGGTCATTTTGACTAAAATCAAAGTTTTACTTCTAAGAAACTTTCTCTGTGTCTTGGTGGACATGGGCTTCATTTGTCTTAGTTAATTATAACTTTTATTTTTAATTTTTATGTATTTATTTTTAGACATGGTCCCTCTATGTTGCCCAGGCTGGTCTTGAACTCCTGGGCTGAAGCCATCCTCCCACTTGAGCTTCCTGAATAGTTGGGACTGCAGGTGCACCACCATATCTGGCATAACTTTTTATATTTCTAAAATTATTGAACCATGTGAGTGGTTTTCTTGATACCAATCAATAACTTTTTTTAAAAAAGCAACTTTGAATTTTTTTTAAAAAATGAGAAAATAAATGTTCTCTCTTCCCCCAAAAGTATTCTTGTCCGATGATATCCTGTTGTGCATGTAATCAGGTGTGAATTTCTTTGCATATCATGTAGGACCTTTAAGGATGTTCCTGTGATATGGTTACAAATTACTCAGTGGTCTCCAATATGATCAGCATTCTTCTGCCTCTGGCTTTTGTTATCATGAGACTTAAAATAAGATTTCTCATCTTATTTCTACCAATCTAAGTGCTGCTCCTTCTTGAAGGCCTGTTTTCTACCTCCTCTAGAATTATTCCTTTATTTACAGAAAACTGGAACAATTTCTATCTCCTATGAGCCCTAATGCCACATTGTCCGTGTCATTCATTTAGCAGTTATTGAAGTCCTAACTAATAATGATTTTCCTGTTTTTTGCCTTGTGGTATCATGTATATTTCAAATTGTGTCTTGTTTCCAAGATGACACCTTTTAAAATTTTTTGATAGAATCTTACCTGCTATTGCCTCTAGTTTACTGATTTGCCTGTTATATTCTCAGTAAATGCTAGCATATTGTTTTAAAACTTTCTTAACAAGCTCTAAACCAGTTAGGCAAAAATTGCAGAATTCATCATGTTTTATAGAGTTTATATAGTCTGCTGAAAGATGTAAAGTTAATTTGAATCTTTGTCTTTACAGAGTGAAAAGAAAATAAAGACAACAGTATTGACAGCAGCACTTCTATTATCTGGAATTCCTGCTGAAGTGATAAATCGATCAATGGATACCTATAGCAAAATGGGCGAAGTCTTCACAGATCTCTGTGTCTACTTTTTCACTTTTATCTTCTGTCATGAACTGCTCGATTACTGGGGCTCTGAAGTACCATGAAGCCTGCAGAACTCAGAAGAAGCTTACAAAAAAACCAATTACTCTTCTATATTGCAGTGTCTCTAAAAGAGGCATATGAGTTTACACCTTTATATAATTTTATTTCATAGGGATTATAAAGCCAATAGGAAAGGAATGACAGGTTCCTTGATTTGAAAATGTTACATTTGTATTAGTATTACTATGAAAAATAGAGTACCAATGTCATTAATGATTTTCCTTGTTTAATTAGAATCCCTAGTCTATATATCTTTTCCCTAACTTCTCAGATTTGTAATTCCTCTTTTGGGGCCTGAGCTAATGCTTTTGAGAGAGCAGATAAATGTGGTCTCAGCCAACCCTGAAGATTGTTTCTTGTATTCGTGTCATTCTGTCCTGAAAAATGAAACCATCCTAAAAATAAAATGAAAAAAAAAATGAATTGAGTATTAAATCATTTGGTACTACTTTTTTTTTTTTTTTTTTTTTACAGATTTTTGTATGGTCTATTTGGTTAATACTCATGATATTAAAAACACATACTTTATTTTTTATTGCTCACTAAGTCTTATTTTGTATAATTTTATTTTAAACCAGAATAACAGAATAATTTAAGTCTATTCCTTTGGTTTGAGATTAAGATTACAAGCATACACATTTTCTGATTTCAAAATGAATTTAGAGAGAAATATAAAGCATCCTTAGACTTGTCATCCCCTTAATCCCTAGGAAAACACTAGTGATCTTGAATTGCATGTTTACCACTTTTGTTTCCTTAAATTAAAAAAAAAGTAGGGGGTAGGCATGGTGATGCATTCCTGTAATCCCAGTGATGGATAGGTTGAGGCAGGAGGATCACAAGTTTGAGGCCAGCCTAAGCATTTTAGCAAGACCCTCAGCAACTAAATAAGAGTGTGTTTCATTATCAAATTTTTAGACTTCGACCCACTCTGGCTTCGTGAATGAAGGTTGAAGACGTGAGGAACCGCTAGGGAGTTTTGAATTAAAGAGACAAGACTCTAATTACCTTTAAACCAGCTCCAAGATGGCTCCTCCTAGCTCCAGCCTCCAGCCACCTAATGTGGTAGCGAAGTTTAATGAAGAGGAGAGAGAACACGCCAGGGAGGGGAACAAAAGATTCTGGGGAAAATCCCATCCAATGAAGATTAAGAGGGGCAGCGTCCCAAGGTCGAGGGGATGATTAGCCCTCAATCGGACCTGGAGAAGGATGGGGAAAGCTCTGACACAGCTGTGTCTAAGGGTCTCTCACCCAGCCAGGGAGGTAACTCAAATCATGTGCAAGGATGGCCTCCCACATAAATTTATATATCAAGAAGACCTGTAAGACAATGGAATATTACTCAGCACTAAAAAAATAACAAGATCATGGCATTTGCAGGCAAATGGATGGCATTAGAGCAGATTATGCTAAGTGAAATTAGCCAATCCCCAAAAAAACAAATGCCGAATGTCTTCTCTGATATAAGGGGGGTGGCTCAAAATGGAATAGGGAAGAAGAGCATGAGAAGAAGACTACCACTAAATAGGGAAGAGAGGTGAGAGGGAAAAAGAGGGAGAAGGGGAGTTGCACGGAAGATGGAAGGAGAACCTCATTGTTATACAGAATACATATATGATGTTGTAATGAGAAAAAGAAATAAGAAGTGTGTCACATTAGATTGGATAGAGAGAAAGGATGGGAGAGGAGGGGAGGAGTAAGGAGGATACGAAGGGCAGCAGAATAGAATAGACAATATGATTGATGTATTCCATGTATGTATTATATGTCAAAATTCATTCTGCTGTCATGTATGACTAAAACAAATAAAGAAAGAATTTTTAAAAATTAAAAAAAAAAAGGAATAGAGATGTAAAGTAAAAAAAAGAAAAGAAAAAAAAAAAAAAAAGAAGACCTGTAAGATACCTGTTGTTGCCACTTTTTCTCTACAGTTGATTGACATCCCCCTGATTATTTGCTTCAGTATGTTGAATAATATCAGATGGAAATGGAATCTTTTCGTGTTCAGAAAAATTTAAAATCTTTTTAGGAATTTTGACATGTATGTGAGCTAAATGACTGACAAATATGGTCATTTAAATAGGACATCTTCAACCATGTCACCCAGTGAGTTTTTTAGTCTGATTAATTATCACCATTGGTATTAAAAACAGACGATTACAAGTTTCTCAGAACTGAGTCAGAATCAAAATCTGCTTTGGAAGTCAGGGCTGTTTGCTCTAAGTGACATATTCGAGACAGTAGCAGCTTCTCGCAGGACAGAGAAGTAATGTGAATTAACCACCAATGTATTGTGGACATAAATTATTATGGCAGTGAGAATTGCCTTGTTAATGGGTTCTCTCAGAGGGGTGTTAGAAATAAAGTATCTTCAAATGAGCCTAGATCTAGGTATCATGCCTAGATTCTAGTTCTAGCAAGATGAGTGATATAGGACTAAGTGTGTTTCCTGAGTGTCTGTTTTCTTCAAGAAATTTGAGTATGTGATTAAAAAATTTGTTCCAGCTGGGCGCGCTGGCAATGCCTGTAATCCCAATGGCATGGGAGGCTGAGACAGGAGGGTCATGAGTTCAAAGCCAGCCTCAACAAAAGCGAGGTACTGAGCAACTCAGTGAGACTCTGTCTCTAAATAAAATACAAAATAGGGCTGGGGATGTGGCTCAGTGGCTGAGTGCCCCTGAGTTTAATACTCAGTACCAAAAAAAAAAAAATCTGTTCCACCTATTAACATTAATTCTGTGACCAAACAATATTCAAATTGAGCTACTTCCATTCCCTCTGCATGATCTCACCAGTCCATGGCTGTACTATACTTAAAAACAAATTGTTAGTAACCCACTTCTCTCCCACTTCTATTTCTCCCGTGTACTCCAGATTCATATAACACCTTACATAGCCATAAGTTCCTGGAAGTGTAGTAGGCATCTCAAGCATCTCACGACTAAAACAGAATTGCTCATTTCTTTCCTTCCCCACCAAATGCTGCTCCCATGCCTTTCTCATCTCCATACATTATGACAATCAAACTATAGCTCTGTTCAAAATCTGGGAGTCTGGGCTGGGGTTGTGGCTCAGTGGCAGAGCGCTTGCCTAGCATGTGCGAGGCACTGGGTTCAAGTCTCAGCATCACATATAAATAAATAAAGACCCATCAATAACTAATAAAAATATTTTTTAAAAAAGCTTGGGGGTCATCTTTCTTCTTCCCTTTCCCTCACAGCTTACAGCCAATTGATCAGTTTGTTTTGAGAGCTTTCCCCAGAATACATCTGGAATCTGACCATATCTTGTCTCCACTGGTTAAGTCACTAGTGGTTTTCTATTTTTGTTTTTGTTTTGTTTTGAAAAAGCTCCTGCTATGTTCTCTAGGCTGGCACCTCAGCCTCTGGAGCAGCAGAACAGTTGGAACAACAGGACCCCAGGTGGCTTTTTTCCTATTTCTCTTAGACTGAAATCCATATCCTTCCCTATAGCCTACATGGCAGCAACTTATGTAGCTCTGGTACCTGTCCCTCCTTGGCGTCCATCTGGTAATATTGTTTCAGTCCTTCCTTACCCTTGGCAGGGTGCCAAACTCTCCAGTCTATCCCTCTTCAATTCAGCTCACCGCTCACACAGGCAGGCAACTGCCCTAAGGGTGAGAGCCAGAACTCACCTTGGAACCTTAACCTTACACTATTTTTATTTTACTTTTTAAAAAAATCATCTTTATTTGATATTAAATTTTATATAGAATAAAACATCAATTCAAACTGTATAGTTTGCTAGGCATGGTGGCACACCCCTGTAATCCCAGCTACTCAGAAGACTGAAGCAGGAAGATCACAAATTTGAGGCCTGCCTGGGCAATTTACTTAGATCCTGTGTCAAAGTAAAATAGGCAGAGGATGTAGGTCAGTGGTAGAGGGTTTAACATGCATGAGGCCCTGGTTTCAGTTCCTAGTACCGCAAAAATTAACTTAAGTGTAATTCAATGAATTTTAACAAATGTATACATCCACACAACTGCCACAATAAAGATATAGTACTTTTGCCCAGCATGGTGGCGCGCACGCCTATAATCCCGGCAGCTTGGGAGGCTGAGGCAGAAGGATCAAGAGTTCAAAGATAGCTTCAGCAACGGTGAGGTGCTAAGTAACTCAGTGAGACCCTGTCTCTAAATAAAATATAAAATAGGACAGGGAATGTGGCTCAGTGGTCAAGTGCCCCTGAGTTCAATCCCCAGTACCAAAAAAAAAAAAAAAAAAAAAGTATAGTGCTTTTCTATTTAGGTGTAAGAAAGTAAATAGCAGTACAGTCACATGTAGGGTAAAAATGAGAGATTCTTCCCCAACTTCATGACAGCTTTCTGCAAAATCTTGGGTATGTGTTCCACCAGACCATTAATTCCCAATCTTGGCTATTTCAGGGTCTCCTAGGAAGCTTAAAAATCTCCAATGCTGCGGGGTATGGCACAGGCCTGTAAACCCAGCCACTGAGGAGGCTTAGGCAACATGATTGCAAGTTGGAGGCCAGCCTCAGCAACTTAGTGAGGTTTTAAAGAGTTTAGGGAGACTCTGTCTCAAAATAAAACATTAAAAGGGTTAGGGTTATATAGCTCAGTGTTAAAGTGCCCCTGGGTCAATCTCCAGTTAAAAAAACAAAAACAGAGCTGAGGTTGTGGCTCAGAGGTAGAGTGCTCGCCTACCATGCATGAGGCACTGGGTTCGATCCTCAGCACCACATAAAGATAAAATAAAGATACTGTTGTAACTAAAAATAAAACGAAAAACTGACCAAGTAAGTCAGATCATCAATGGAAACCCAGGCATTCATATCTGATTTTCCCTAACCCTTCCCAGGGCAGGCAATGTTGAGGGGAGGGAAAAAAAAAATAAATATATAATATATCTATATAAAAATCTTTCTTTCTAAATAAATATATTATATATAAATATATATTTGTATAAAATTCTTTCTTTCTCTCTCCTTCCTTCCTTCCTTCCTTCTTTTCTTTCTACTGGGGATTAAACCCAAAGATGCTTTAGCTTTCAGACAGCGTCTCCCTAAATTGTTGAGGGTCTACCCTAAATTTCAAAGGCTTTTCTTGAACTTTCAACCCTCCTGCCTCAGTCACCCCAGACACTGGGATTACGGGCATGCACCATCATGAGGGACAAGAGCTGTCACGTCTTTTGCTAATATATTTTTAGCTCTTGTCTTCTTCATCAGGTTAACTCCTTCAACTTCAGGTTAACAGTCTTCAACTCTCACCTGCAAGCTGAAAGGTCACTTACTTCCTCAGGCAGCACTTTCTTTTTTTCCAGTATGCACTTTCCTTATGGTATTACATCCTCTTTGTTTTCGGTCATATCCATCCCCCACTCTCCGTGAGATCTAGCACAAGCCTGGCACACAACAAAAATGAGTGACT